AAGTACCGGTAACTGATTAGGACTTGCCTCTATCACAGAGACTTGGGTTAGGTTAAATAGCTGTGAAGGAGTATCAATGTAACAGGTTAGGTTTATAAAGATGCCATGCAGAATATAGTATAGAGAATAGAAGGCATTTTAAAATTGTTTTTAATTTAAAATCCTAAAGAAGTCACACAAAAAAATAGGAAATGTGTTTTTGCTGGTTTTTGTTTACAATTTTCTATTCATTATTTGCCTAAGGTTGCCAAAACTAAAATATCAATAAAATAAATCTGCAGCATAATTTAGAATATTTTCACATAATAATATGTTATTTATTAATATATATTATAATATACTGTGCATGTATACATCAACCAATCACATGACTTTGTCAGTGGATTCTCTGAGGAAGTCATGTGATTGCTTGAGGATCTCCTGATGAAGTCACTTGATTGGTTGAGGATTCCCTGATGAAGTCACGTGATTGGTTGACGTAATGCATAGGGAGGAGCTGGTGACATCACGAGTCTAAACCTGAAGTGTGCAGGTAGCCATTTTGTTGGAGGTTATCCACACTATGAGCCTGGATACTGAAGTACCCCAGTTATAGTATACTTCATAAGTTGAGTATATTTTAATATTTTAATAAAATATTGTTACCCACATAGAGAGCACTTATTTTTGGGGAGAATTTCATGTGTATATTGCGGGATTGCGGAGGATCGAGATGTATTGAAGCCACCAGTGGAGAGAAGGAAAGAGAAATCATGATAAAGGAGACCTCCCTCCTAGATTGTAAGCTCCAAAGAGCAGGGCCCTCAATCCCCTCATGTTTTGCATTGTATTGGTATTGTTCTGTCACATGTTCTGTCCCCCTTTGTAATGTACAGCGCTGAGCGAACTATTGGCGCTTTATAAATACTGTATAATAATAATAATAATAAAGAGGAAGACACATGAGATCTAATTTGGGGTCAAAGCATCAAGGTGAGAACATATGGAAATAGGTGATGGGAGAGATGCATGTGGTGATAAAGAAGTTAATAGTGGAGAATATATAAATGCACTAAGGAATTGAGGTTTTGCAAGTATATAAGAACTATTAACTGGACATTTTATTTCATATGGACATTTGGCACTTTTATTTGATCATATTTGGATGATTATTTGATCATGTTTATTTTGATATATGTGACATATATTGCATACATACATGTTTGTTAGAACAACACACTTTATATTTTAGAGGTGTTAATGCACTTTATAATACATGACACTGTCACAGAGATTTATTTATATAATTTTTGTGTGAACATAAGAAGTGTCAGCATCAGTAAGGACACTAGTCCATGCATTTTTTTTATATTTACATATTTATTATTTAATATATAAGCACACAGGCACTTTAACTTATGGTCATAATAGTCGTATTTACTATTGTATAGCACTTTTTTTTAGAGTGGTAGCACTATATTCTTCTTTACAGTGACTGCACTGCAGTTTTTTCTGGTTTCATCTTCTGTAATGGTTCACTTTTCTGAGTGTCTTACAAAGGATGTTGGTAGATATTATGCTCTGCTTCTGGGTGAGAGCAGCATGGTGCGGCGACAGTGAATGGACAAAGTCTGGTTGCAAATAACATAACTTGCATTGGAGTCATGGCCCAAAGGTACAAAAAACTCTGCAGGAAGGCACCCGACTGGGAACACTCACAGTTCTGAACAGTAATGCAGAGAGGAGCAGGTCCTAATGTGCCAACACTGACTGTCTCTGAGGCTTTGTGCATGGTCCTTGGTGGTCTATGCCTAATTAGGAGGATTCTTGGAAAGGATAGTGTGTCCCTATCTTGCCCCTACTCATCCAAAAAACTTTCCCTAGCACTGTTCATGATAGCCTGTCTCTACACTGTCCACTGTCTATGTGCACCAACCCAGGGAACCAGGGTCTTAAATAGACTTTGCTTGACTCAAGAATATTGTCAGTGTCACATGGGGTGGCAGCATCCAACCAGATCGCTTCCCCAGTGACCCGGAAAAACCATAAAGGAACATGTGTCTCCTGATTTCCTTCCTTCTGCAATGCTGAAATGATTAAGCACCACCTGCAGTGAAGAAAAGAGACTGCACCTGCCTACATGCTGCTACCTGCATAATATCCCTTATTGATCATCCCCATGAACTATTATTGGAGTGGAGACTCCCAATAGTTATAGATGTTTTTTTCTACCCCTTTTTCCATTATGTGCTTTAATGCATTTCACATCACTTTCACTTTTGGAAGGTTGTTGGTTTGAGAATACTGACACTCTTTCCTGCTTTTTGTGTGCTAAATAAAAGGTCTGGATCCTCTTAGTTGCTGGAGTAAATAATTTTGAGTCCTGAAAACAATATCTAGTGATGGAGAACCCAGACAGACCCTGAGAGACTTGCTTAGGATTTTCCCACATTTAGCTATTCCCTAGCTAGCATTGGACATGAAAAAGTATTGATCAAACAATTTAATATGATTTTATTTTGTAAATAATTAAGATGTTCATCTGAAAGGCTCATGATCATATCTGACAGAATACTTTGCTCATAGTGGCTGAAATGAAAGGACCTTCAACCCAGAATAACAAAGCATTCTTCTCATGGAAGCTTTAAATTTATAGAAAACATCTGTTTAAATGGTATCACAATATTAAAGTGTATTATTATATTTTAATGATTGAGTTAAGATCTACTTTTACAACAAACAGTAGGTCTAAATACAGTATGTCTTCCTTCATTATGATCTTACTGTTTATATTTTAAGCTCACGGCATAATATAAAACTATGGTGAGACAAGGGGAAGAGTATGCGTACTTATCTCATCTGAGTTTTGCAGGGATTGTTTTAACTTTATTTTAAAATGCTTCTAAAGGCTCAAGGTTGTTTTTAACTTAATGTATTCTATGCATGAAGGTAAAAAGCCTTCTCTGTGCAGCAGCCCCACCAGCCCCCCTAATGCTCACCCTCTCGATCCAAGGATGTGTACTGAAGTCTCGGGAATCCCAGGACTCTCTCTCCTCATTGGATGAGACACAAGCAGGAGCCATTGGCTCCCACTGCTGTCAATCACAGCTAGTGAGCCAATGAGAGGAATCAGGGCTGAGCCACGGCTCTGTGTGTGAATGGGCACACGGAGCAGCGGGTACCCCCATAGCAAGCTGCTTGCTGTGTGGGAATCCAACAGGAGAGAAGGTCCAGGAACGCTGATAGGGGACCCGAGAGGAGGAGGATCAGGGCTGCTCTGTGCAAAACCACTGCAAACAGCAGGTAAGTATAGCCATGTTTGTTATTAAAAAAAAAATATATATATATATATATATTGTGGCAGTACGGTATCCTGCCACGGTGGAAATCATGATGGAGACCCAGGATTCTCAACCATACAGGTTGAGGGGCTCCAGGCAGTTCTCATAATGCAGAGGAAACTGGTTTATAAGTTTCCTCTTTGGTTTGTAAAGCCTGTTTTGGGACCTGTAGCCTGGAGATTTCTAAGAGATTTGGGAGGGATGAAATCTCCAATCCTGGGCCCATATTTTGAGAGCAGCCAGCACGATGATTGCACAGGTGTGTGCAGGCCTTTTTGTGGAGGCCAGGCCATGATTCTGGGCTCAACCCCGGCAGATAGGAGTCGGGAGGGCTCCACCCCGGCAGATAGGAGTCGGGAGGGCTCCACCCCGGCAGACAGGAGGTCTCTGCCTTGGAGTCAAGTGGGCTTCACCTAGTAGAGGTGGAAGCCAGACAAGCTGTGTGCGATTGGCTAGCTGTGTGCGGGAAAGCCATTTTTGGATAGAGTCTGCAGGAGACAGACGGAAATCGGTGTACCAGCCAGAAGGCTGAATATCATTTGCATTGGTTTGATGTGGATACCCCTGCTTGGGAAGATTGATGGAAGTTTTCCTTTAAATAAAATTGGGCAAAAAGGCCCTTAAATAGAAGCGAGTTGCTGTGTGCTTTGAAGAAGCTCTACCAATTAGAAGCGAGTTCCCACAATATATATATATATATATATATATATATATATATATATATATATATAAAAGCCTTGAGAATCACTTTAACTTTATTCGTTATGAATATATCATATATATGTAGACTATGCTAGCACAACTTCAAAATTCTGTAATTATAAACATATTTAATTGATTCTTTATTATGGGAAAATTGCAACAATCTTGTTTTGTTGTAGAAGTGTTTCAAAGGTATTAATGAGCCTCTATATTAACTCCTTTTCTCAGGCGACTTTCCTCATGTATCTTAAGGCTACTTGTTCTTGTTCCAAAGAGCAAAACAAAGTTATTTCTGAATGACTCTCGTTCAGTAGCACTAACCCCAATAATTTTGTAGTGCTTCAAAAGGTTGGCAATGGCACATATAAAGAAGACCCTCAACACCAAATCGGACCCCCTATCAGTATGTATACAGACATAACTGAACTCATTAGTGGTTTACCTGTCTCTTACTCACTTGGACAATAAAAAATATTATGCTATACTTATTTCTTTGAATTTTAGTTCTACTTTCAATACTATTATTCCAAAACCCTGACAAATAAACCGACACTACAAGGGACACAATCAATTTTTGCAACTGGTTGCTGGACTTTTAAGAAATAGGCCCCGGCTCCTAAAGTTCTCAATATTTCACTTACTTCTATCATCATCAATCTGGGATACCACCCAGGGGTAAATTTTGAGCCCTTAATGTACATACTGCTGACTCATGATTGTTGAGCTAAGTATCTAAGCAATCATATTGTGAGGTTTGCAGATGATATGGAAGTAGTGTAGGGGGGGGGGGTAACTGTTAAGTGTGTCCCTTGCTTTAAATATTTAGAAGTGCACATCGCTGATAACTAGAGATGAGCGAAGTATTCAAAAATTCGATTCGGCTGATTCGGCGAATTCGAGGAATAAATTTGATTCGAGGCGAATATATTCGCTGCGAATTTAACTTATAAAAGGGTGTTTCTAGGCTTCAGAGAGCCTTTATATTAGTGCAGAACACTGTACCTTTAATTTAAATGCCCTTGGAGTCTGCTGGGGAAGAGAAATAATACTGTCAGTCAGTATGACATGCAGATGAGTGCCGTCGATCTTAGAATCACCGCACACTTCACTCATTTGGGCAGTCACGGGGCCAAAACCAGAGTGTGGAGCCACAGTGTGGCGGTGGAGGCAGCAGCAATGGGAGGCCATACAGCACCCTATGACAAAAATGGAACCCACCAGCAGTGTGAGGAGACCTGAAAGTGGCACATGGCAGAGTGTGGCGATGGAGACAGCAGCAATGGGAGGCCGTACAGGGACCCATGACACACTCTGGACCTGGCAGCAGCATGAGGAGGCGGTACGGGGGCCCATGGCAGATTACGGGCCTGGCAGCAGCAATGGGAGGCCCGTAATCTGCCAGCACCCTATGACAAAATGGAACACACCCAGCAGTGTGAGGAGACCTGAAAGTGGCACATGGCAGAGTGTGGCGATGGAGACAGCAGCAATGGGAGGCCGTACAGGGACCCATGAGAGACTCTGGACCTGGCAGCAGCATGAGGAGGCGGTACGGGGGCCCATGGCAGATTACGGGCCTGGCAGCAGCAATGGGAGGCCCGTAATCTGCCAGCACCCTATGACAAAATGGAACACACCAGCAGTGTGAGGAGACCTGAAAGTGGCACATGGCAGAGTGTGGCGATGGAGACAGCAGCAATGGGAGGCCGTACAGGGACCCCATGAGACACTGTGGACCTGGCAGCAGCATGAGGAGGCGGTACGGGGCCCCATGGCAGATTACGGGCCTGGCAGCAGCAATGGGAGGCCCGTAATCTGCCAGCACCCTATGACAAAATGGAACCCACCAGCAGTGTGAGGAGACCTGAAAGTGGCACATGGCAGGTGTGGCGATGGAGACAGCAGCAATGGGAGGCCGTACAGGGACCCATGAGACACTGTAGACCTGGCAGCAGCATGAGGAGGCGGTACGGGGGCCCATGGCAGATTACGGGCCTGGCAGCAGCAATGGGAGGCCCGTAATCTGCCACCACCCTATGACAAAATGGAACACACCAGCAGTGTGAGGAGACCTGAAAGTGGCACATGGCAGAGTGTGGCGATGGAGACAGCAGCAATA